CAATATATTCATCCCATTCATCATACCAGATTTTGCTATCATTCTTCCCTTCCCTTCTCTCTTCTCATAGTTTTTTGAACCTTTTTTTTTTATCTCATTTTCTTTTTCCATTTTTCTCACTTTTTCATCTCACTACTTTGTATCATGGTGTCCTGATGTGGGGTGTGACACATGAAATCATCACGCTGTATTACAAAACCACATTTTGATAATAGCTGACTACCTACCAATGTCTGCTAGAATCATCTGCTGAAATATTTATGCTAAATATGTAATGAAACGATCTTAAGTTTAGATCACTGCTAGTTTGTAGCTTACAGTCTAGAATAGATATCTCCTAAATCCTCGAGTTTGACTGTGTATTAGCTAACATGCATCTTTGATGATCGGACATACCATTTTTGATGTGATTGCAGGTAGGAGAAATCTGGCAACACTATATTAAATAATTAGGTTATTATCTAGGATGAGATCAACGCAGACGATAACAATGAAAGATAGTGAAGGAAACCTAGTTGTCAAAGAAGGGAAACAAAGGAAAAGATGGGCTGACCACTTCAAAAAACTCTTGAATCGACCACCACCACCATCTGCAACTCTTCCACGAATACCACCAACAACGGCAAAACTACCAGTGAACATAAGCTGTCTGACAAAAGCAGAAATCCTAAATGCTATGAAGTTGCTGAAAGGTGCAGGACCGGATGGAATTCCTCCAGAAGCACTGAAAACAGACGCAGAGACAACATCGGAAATGCTTGCATAACTATTGCAGAAGGTTTGGAAAGAAGGAAGGAAAGATATCTGCAGATTGTAAGAGGGCTACGTTGTCAAACTCTCGAAGAAACGAGACCGAAGTCTCTGCAGGTACCGGCGAGGAATCATACTGCTGTCCACCCGAAGAAAACATTAAGCCACATCCTCCTGGAGAGACTAAAAGGTGCTCTTCAGTCATCTGGATTACAACCCGAACAATCTGTCTGGATGGCCTCAGGAACAACTAATCATGTGTGCAACTCTACGCTACGCATCATCATAGAACAGAGTACAGAATGGCAGTCAACACTCTACATTACATCAACTTCATCGATTTTGAAAACGCCTTCGAAAGCGTCAACCAAAAAGTAACTTGGTAGGCAGATGCTTCAACACCACGGTTTCAGTGCCACAAACCATTAACAACCTCATTCCACAGCTATATGAATACCCCACATGCAGAGTGATCAACAATGGAAAGTTCAGTAATGCCTTCGAAGTGAAGACAAGAAGGAGTAAGACAAGGCTGCCACCTACTATCACCGATCATCTTCCTGATTGTGATGGACTCAACTGGATCATGCAGCAAACTGTGAGGAGTGAGGAGATGGGCATACACTGGTTGGCTGGACCGATGAAAAGACCCATGAAGGAGATTTGGATTTGGTCGACGATGATTCATGTGTGATGTCTTGTGGCAGAAACGCGAATATCTACAGAGGAAAAGTAAGAAGTTGACAGAAGAGGCGAGGTGGGGAAGCGAAAACAGGACTATCCTCAAGTGAATGTAGAGAATCAACGACAAGCAGCAATCAGGGTTGATGGGAGGAATCTGCAGGAAGTAGTCTCTTCCACCTACCTACCTACCTACCTACCTGCCTACCTACCTACCTACCTACCTACCTACCTACCTACCTACCTACCTACCTACCTACCTACCTACCTTCCTGCTTGCCTACCTACCTACCTAGACAGAACAGTTTCAACTACAAATCGCGTCGCGGATGAGGATGTCAAAACCAGGATCACAAAAACAGCAGGATAGGTCTTCCTCCGTTAGTCTGAAATAATCAGCGAGGAAGTCTACTGCAATCAGCATAAAGCATGAACAAGATACGGATTTTCAACATTATTCCAGTTAAGCCAGTGCTTCTATGTGATCGTTGAGAGACTTGGCGCGTCAAGATAGGTATTTTCAACAAACTACAAATATACTTCATCAACAGCTGCCGCCTATGCTCTTTCCATACTGACACTGAAGATGGAGATCAGATAACCAGAATAATAAGAGTAAGCAACAAGGAAGTCTGACTGGGTGATAACGAACCAACGAGACAAGAACTCATCGTTGAACAAGTATGCAGGAGAAGAAAGTTGAGATGGATTGGATTGGGCATACACTGAGAAGGCTGATTGAGGATATCACTAGTCAGGCTAGGCCATCGAGTTGAATCCAAATGGGAAAAACGAGTTGGGCGTCTGTGGAGGAGATGATGTGAGGATGAAATGAAAGCTTGTGGGGAGTGGTGGAGAGAAGTTCAAAAGATTGCAGAGAATAGAGCGAAATGGCTATGTGCTACTGAAGCTGTATATTCCACTAGGAACGCAAGGGACAAATAATAATTATTAAGTACTAGGAACAACATTTCAACTGTTTCGCCAAAACTCCAATTCATTATCTCGCCCTATACATTTTTTATGCAATAGGATATCATTTTTTGCATCCACCCGTGTATGTGTTTCTTCATATGCATACTTTTAAACTACAATTTCAATGAGGTCCCTTTTAAATCTAGCGGCGGGATTCAAACTGTTTAACTGAACAAAATGGTCTAACTAAGTGCTATTATATTTTGTTTTTACCTAAATATTTTTCGTTCAATCACTTTTAGAGTATTTTGTGAATAAAACTGAATATCCTGCCCATTTTCAAAGCCAATAAAATGTTTTTTCAATTATGAAGATTCAATAGAGAAAATGAAGTATTTTCAGATTTACTTAATTTTCTACCCATTACAATTAATCGTATATTAGTTAGTAAATGATGTTTAGAGAACATCTAGGTTACGTTTCATAAGTCAAAATGATTTAGTTATTGAAGTGGCACGTCTAATAATCCTTAACTTATATCTATTAAGGCGTAAATGCTTCATATACACAGTTTCAGAAATGTACATTGTATATATAATTTTCTATGTGGATAAAGTTTAAGCAGAATGATAAATGACGGACAGAAAATCATTTAACCGTAGTGCAGATAATTTACTTAGTTGCAAGGAGTATTTTCTAAGGCATGTGAAAATAGAGTAGATTATACTGTAGACGATGTCCCACTTTATGTCAGACAAGTCAGTTACCTACGAAGTGACCTCAAGCAGATAATTATTTCGGAAATGCTCACTCAATTCTCTACCAAATCATCTATTCATAATTGGTTACATAGTTTGGTACAAAACGTTTCTGATATGGTTTTCATCTGTTTTGCACATTGTCATTGTTCTGATACTTTCACAATTATATCCCAGGAACGACTGTGAGAGTAAATGGCCTAGTAAACTTGTGTTGCTCTTGAGAGAAAACAAACAGCTATATTTTTCCAACCTACTGTCTACAAATATAACGCTTTAAGCTGAAAACTGCACAGTGAAGTAACAAAAAAAAGTAGAAATGCATCATAATTCCATTTGGAAACCAGTATACTTCGATAAACAGCATTTGTAGTTTTCGTTACATAATAATTAATTTAAGTATTACCAGCCATGACTATCAGGAGAAGTTTAAGACTATTCACTCTCTCTTAAGAAAATTCGATTACGCAATACTTTATAATACATAATATTGATAAATAGTCCACTTGATTCACCACCGAAATACCTTTGACATAAATTCATTACTCACAAACCCAAAAACACCAAAATATTATTCCACCTTTTTTTGTTGCCAATCTGTTTCAAATTCCTGTTTTTGATTTTTGATACATTCAACTTTCCCTCTCCTATTCAACGTAAATTTTTTCTGACGTGTTACTCACATAATTTATGGCATTATTTTCACAAGTCTTTAAAATGTTGTCTGCAGTCATTGTATAATTTCGATATGTGCGCTTTTGAAATATTCATTCAATCGTCAATGTAAAGTATTTGAATGACTCGTTCCATTGATTATTCAACTTAACTGTGTTTGATTTCATTCTGTAAGGTTATTTTCAACTTTCGTAAAAACTTTCTTTATAATTAAAATCAAATTTAGATAAAAATTATTTTAAGATACACGGAACCTACGAATTTCATGAAATACTATTGAAACTTAAGTTTCATTGAGTTCCTCAAGAAGGATTAAATTTGATCACTGCCTCGAAGTGTGATTGTTTATAATATGAAGATTCAAAAATGTAATGACAGTCATCTGATTCTATCTCTTGATAAGCGCTGAAAAATACCAGTGTTTTGGATATCTTATCATTGTAGATTACATTGAAGGGTTTTAATATCTTTATTTATTTCTCACTTATCATTTTTGTATATATTATTCCGATAACGATATCTGGAAGTTTCGTATTCATTGCTTGTATTTGGTAATTACTTAAAGCTCTTTTTCTCTGAATGCTCATATAGGAACACTCAAAAACATATAAACCTTTTGTTAAATTACATATAGACCTAGATTCTAATTAGTATAATTGTTTTTTTACATGATGCCGTCGTATATCCGGCTGACGAGTCCCAAATAGGACGAAATGCGCATCCTGGATCCCACTGCTACCTACTATCCATCATTAATATAATTAGAAAGCAGGCAATATCGAGGCATCCACACAGGAGCCCATATGCCAATCGAGACCGATCAATTCGCTCCAATCAACGACGGTATCATATAGAAACAATTATACAAAACCTATACCTGTAGCACAAGAAGTTGCTATGGTGGCTCGGTGGTGTAGTGGATAACGCTCTCGAGTTTGAAGCGATCGCCTCCGAGTCCGAATTCTGGTGGGAACAACATCAGTCACTGGGAGCCGGCAGGTACATCTAGCTGACTGGTGAGTCCTAAATCGGACGAAATGCGTATCCTGGATTCCACTGCTAGTGAGTACCCATCATTACTAGATTCTAATTGTAAAAATTGACTGACTGAGGTGACTGAACAACTGGGAACCGAATAAAACAACATTTCTATATTGATTAGCATAACTTTAATAAAATTGGTTGAGTGAAATTTAGTAAAAACAACACCGATGAATTTACCTGTTGATCCACCAGGCAAATGTATAATATCGACTTCAGATCCTATTAGGGAGAAAAGAATAGGCTGAACAAACCACCAAGTAACTGCCATAGTTCTACGCATTGAATTTAAGCAGGCCATACCACGTTCAGCAGGAGTAGCAGGAACAACCTCCACGCTAAATAGTTGTCCTTGATGATTGTAGTTATTCGAATTGTGATCTTCATCAGTCATGACTTTATTACTATCACAAACCTTCCTATTTGTCTTTCCTTCAGCTTCATTAGATGAACACTCATCATTTTCTTCAACCTCTTCAACTTTTTCAACTGGTTGATTGTTATAATATGCTGTATACTGCTCTGGATATGTTGGCGTTACTAAGTAGAAATAAAGGGAGAGTTTAAAAATCTGGTTTACTATGTCAGCTGTAAAAATTGGCTACTAAAATAAATCAATTTCCTAGGAATTATTGTTTTTAATTTAAAGAATTTCCTAATTTTATTAGTAATAAGTAACATAATAAGTAACATAGTGACTGAGGACATCACGCGTCAGGCCCTCGAGTGGAATCCCCATGGGAAGCGACGAGTTGGACGTCCGAGGGTGACATGGAGGAGGTCGTGCGAGGAGGAAATGAGAGGTTGTGGGCTGTCGTGGGACCAGGTTCAAAAGATCTCAGAGAACAGAGGTCACTGGAGACGTGCTACTGAAGCCCTATGTTCTACTAGGAACCCAAGGGACTAATAATAATAATAAATAACATAGTAATATTATTTCAGATGAGTTGATATGTGGTCAACTTACGAATTCGCCTTCTTGATCTGTTTAAATAGCGTAAAGCATTCGCGGAAGATGGACTCCTCCCTCTTCTAAGTGACTGAGGAACAGAAAAAGATTCTAGTTCATAATGGGCAGTGGGTTCTGGCAAACTAAACCTTCTTGATGCCCTAGGTTTTGGGACTGTTCCAAATGAAGATTGTTGTACTTGTTGCTGATAGTTTTGTTGTTGACGATGTTGTGTTGAAGGTAGGTCTCCTCTTTTTTCACTGCCAGTAGCAGCTACTGCAACAGCTAAAGCAGGCAAATCACCTCGTTTTCTATCATTTTCGGATATTACACGATTACGAACGCTGCTACGATTGCTATGCTCACCTGATGAATGTTGACCATATTGCTGACGTAAAATCGAGCAATAGTATGGATGAAATTCAACTAAAGACTCAAGTATGTTTGAATTATTAGGGTCTCTCTGGCGTCTTGTCACACTTTCATTGTCTAACTCGACATCTGAATTCCGTTCATTTTCTTCAATAGACTCTAATTGAGAAGATATAACACCTAGTCTTTCTTGAGATCCTTCATTACTATGCACAGATGCATCGAATTTATCAGATAGGTAGTCAGAATTTGCAAGATTAGAATTTTGTCCAATATTTCCTTGTAATTCTGTTGGTATATTTGATGACTGAGTTAAACGCCAAGGGAAACCATTACGCCAACCTGTGGCAACAACGAAGGATAAAGTTAAACAAGATAATGCACCACCACCTGGTAAATGCATTGCAACTGATCCAATCAAACCAATTATTGCGAAACAAACTAGTAATATTCCTCGAATAAGATGTGAATGTTCCTGAAAAAGTTAAAAGATACACATAAAGCAACAATTAACTTTTAAGTGATATTTTTACTACTGTAGGTCTTTATTTTTCAAATCTCTGGTAAATTTGTCTGATATAACCACTAAAACTGTTCAGGAATTAGTACAAATGACGATTTAACAACTTAGTAATTAGCGCTGAAGTATCCAATTAAACTTTTGAAAATTTCTGTTGACACCGACTAAGTACAGTAAATGGGTACTCCAGGGAAACATTATTCTTTATATTTCAAGTTGTTATTCATCAAAGACTGACATCAGTTGGAGGAACAAAGGAAACCTGGGAGCACTGGACAGCTGTTTCGTCCGACTAGTATGGGACTCCTCAGCAGTGCGCACCCACCACCCCACACCACCACCGATCGAACCCACGATCTTCAGGTTCCACGGTCAGCGCGTCACCATTGAGCCACTGGGTCACCATCCAATGCTCCATATTTCCAACTTCTCTTAGCTCACGATATAGCGCAAACCGCCACCCAATGTCATCGTTGAGTATTTGTCCTCACGGCCATCAGTCTTTGACTCCACCGATCACGACTTCTCATTGAACTTCGGGAATACTTCTCGAAGCTAGTCACCAACGAGCACTAGTTCAATTAAATTTTGAGGGAGTTGTGGAGATTTGGAAATATTTCAAGTTGTTATTCATCGAAGACTGACATCAGTTGGAGGAACAAAGGAAACCTGGGAGCACTGGACAGCTGTCTCGTCGGACTACTATGGGACTCCTCAGCAGTGCGCACCCACGACCCCACCAGCAGTTTAGTTAGATGATCCTCAAATATAAATGCACAAAGCATTTTATTAGTCATAGTTATTTGTAAGTTGTTTACAGGACATTTGTAAATAGTACTACTAGCAACTACAATGACAATAGCTCACGTAGTTATCTGGATACACATTTGATGTAGTTGAAAATTTAGACCAGCTGTTTCCACCCTACAGCTTTTTGAAGCATTATTAAGGAATAATCTGGTGATGCGACCATCTTGATTCCCAATTGGAAAAACACTTAAAAATGATATGCTTGTTATATGCTATTAGTTACAGATGAACAAACGTAGCCACCATATGAACAACAGTAGACCTTTTCGGGACCTCTTATTTTCTAGCAAATTTTTCTCAGATAACTAAACTAAATTTCTAAGAAACAGTTAAGAACTTACAAGTTTTGGTGGAGGGAAGAAGAGTAGTAGTACGGCTACTCCAGCTCCAAATGAGGCTCCTATAAGTGCTTCAAGTGGACCCCAAAATAATGTGTGAACCAAACTTTTTTCTGTTGATAAAGCTACTCCCAGTGCAACACCAAACCCAGTGATTGCAACAACATCGTCTAAACTAGAAGCGGCAACAACAAGTGTAGGTATGCCTTCAGCTACACCCCATCCAGTAACTTCCAAACGCATCATATTTGGTACAATAACAGCTGGTGAAACTGCAGCACAAACAAATCTATGATAAGAAAGGAAAACAATTTAAATGAATTCAGTTTTTAAATCCACATTTTCTTATATAATGAAGAAAAATGACAGACATTTTTGGGTCAAATTCATCATGGTAGAAAGAATGAAAATAATTAGACAAAACTGTACATTAATAAAATGAACTCAGAGAATTAATTACTGTCATTGCTTAAAGATCAAATTACTTCTTCATTGTATTTTATCTCTGCTCAACAAATATGCGAAAGAAAGAGGAGATTGATTGGATTGTGCATACACTGAGAAGACCATTTGGAGAGCTTGTGGGCTGTCGTGGAGTGAGGTTCAAAAGATTGCAGAGAAGAGAGTGGAATGGAGGTATGCTACTGAAGCCCTATATTCCATTGAGAACCCAAGGGACAACTAATAGTGATAATAATAATAATAATGTATTTCGTCTCTGCGATTAAAGCTATTAATTTACGACCTGTAGCACATTTTTCCATACATTTTAGCCGTTTATTTAATGACCATCTTTGAAAGTCTTAACAAATAGATACTTTTAGTCGTTTCAAAAATTGCTCTTAATGTGTTCAAAGTGAACTTTTTTGATACTCTTAGGGTAAATGATATTAAATACTGCTGAAAATGATAAAGATAGATATTTTTGTGATATTTATGTACAATTAAATTTTGAGGAGGTTGTGGAGATTTGGAATTATTTCAAGTTGTTATTCATCAAAGACTGACATCAGTTGGAGGAACAAAGGAAACCTGGGAGCACTGGACAGCTGTTTCGTCCGACTAGTATGGGACTCCTCAGCAGTGCGCACCCACCACCCCACACCACCACCGATCGAACCCACGATCTTCAGGTTCCACGGTCAGCGCGTCACCATTGAGCCACTGGGTCACCATCCAATGCTCCATATTTCCAACTTCTCTTAGCTCACGATATAGCGCAAACCGCCACCCAATGTCATCGTTGAGTATTTGTCCTCACGGCCATCAGTCTTTGACTCCACCGATCACGACTTCTCATTGAACTTCGGGAATACTTCTCGAAGCTAGTCACCAACGAGCACTAGTTCAATTAAATTTTGAGGGAGTTGTGGAGATTTGGAAATATTTCAAGTTGTTATTCATCGAAGACTGACATCAGTTGGAGGAACAAAGGAGCTAACAGAAGTTTAAAATATGGAGCATTGGATTGTGACCCAGTGGCTAGCTCAATGGTAACGCGCTGGCCGTGGGACCTGAAGGTCGTGGGTTCGATCAGTGGTGGTGTGGGGTGGTGGGTGCGCACTGCTGAGGAGTCCCATACTAGTCGGACGAAACAGCTGTCCAGTGCTCTCAGGTTTCCTTTGTTCCTCCAACTGATGTCAGTCTTCGATGAATAACAACTTGAAATATTTATGTACATTTGATAATTTGCGTAGAGATGAATTACAATACCAACTGTAATAATTTTGTTTATAGTAGAAACTATTGAAATACTATTAGAAATATAACCTATCGAAGTATGTAGTACCTGAGATTTTTGAAAGCCTGGCATAACAAATATTCTAATTGATAGATGATAGCTTGAAATGTTCACTTCTATAACTCATAACTTTGTAAAGTTTGTACTGCTTAGAATGCAAATTAATTCTTCATATTTTTGGAGAAGTATCTTAAAATTAGTGTAGAAAGAATATCCTGTAGATGTTCATGTCTGAGAATTTGATTTATTTGTGTACTTAGGGAATAATAGGATACAGGAATATAGTCTATCATTTAGACAACTTCAGAGAATGTACCTAGTGTGGAAGCTTATGAACTCTCATTATGGATTAACATCAAACGGAGAACTGTTGAAAGAATGGGGATACTAATCATTTGTTTCTTTCAAAACTATGACACTTTTGCAGCTTACACCCACATCTTTCGGTCAATAGGCCACCTGCTATCAGGTTGCATGCCGATGTATCACCACATAACCATTGGTTTATAATACAGTGGCAAACATTTTCAAACTCATATTGATTTGGCAGGCAGCTGCTTCAATGCTTCGGTTGTAGTGCCAAAAATCGTAATCAACTTCATTCCACAACTATATGAATACGCCACATGCAGAGTGATCAACAATGGAGAGCTCAGTAACGCCTTCGAAGTGAAGACAAGAGAGGGAAAAGACTGCCTACTATCACCGATCATCTTCGTGATTGCGATGGACTCGACTGGACCATGCAGCAAACCGTGAGGAGTGAGAAGATGGGCATACGCCGAGTGGACCGATGAAAAGGCTCTAGAAGAAGATTTGGATTTGACCGGCCATGATTTATGTCTATTGTCTTGCGGCACAAACTTCCAGATCTACAGGCGAAAACTAAGAAGTTGACAGGAGAGGCAGGGTAGCGAAAAAGGGACCTCAAGTGAAAATGGAGGAGACAGAAGTGACTGAGATACCCAATGAACAACAGCATCAACGACAAGCACCAATCACCATGAAAGGAAGAAATCTAAAGGAAGTAGTCTCTTTCACCTACCAACTACCTACTTACCTAGGCAGCGTCGTTTCAACTACGGGTGGTGGCACAGACGAGAATGTGAAAACCTCGATGTCAAAAGCAAGACAGGCTTTCACTAATCTGAAATCAGTGTGGAGATCTACTCCACTGTACTGCACTGCACTCAGCACAAAGCGTGAACAACATCCAAATTTTTTAACACCAATGTCAGTCAAGTCAGTGCTTCTATGTGATTGTTGAGAGATTTGATGCGTCACGAAAAGCATTTCTAAGAAACTACAAACATTCATCAACAGATGCCGCCTACGCTCATTTTTATACTGAGGATCAGAAGGCCAGAAAGAATAAGTAACAAGGGACTGTGACTGGGTGACACTGAACCAACGAGGCAAGAACCCATCACCCAACAAATATGGAGAAGACGGTGGAGATGGATTGGATTGTGAGTACACTGAGAAGGCCGATTGAAGACATCACTGTTTCATTCTGGTATATGAGTTATCAACAGTGCTCATCCCTTTAAGATTTTCAAGTCTCCTTGCAACTACATTACTACTTAGCTACTAGATAGATTTCCAGTGATATACATTTTCCTACTTCTGTCAATATGTAATTTAATGCGACAATAATCTAATCTCATAAGGATATATTTATTATTACACTCACAAATAATAATAACTGTATGAAAGTTGGCATTAGTTAAAGGTTTTATTGATATAAATTCCAGTTAACCTGAAATGAAAATAATTCTTTTGATTTGTATGGTAGTTCGCTCCGAGTTTTCCTAGTGAAATAATCATTACACAAATGTCACAAATAGCTAAATGAATATAAAAGTTCATCTCTTGTTATGATTATGGGCAGTAATTTTTCTCAGAATATATTAACAAAAGAACAAAAATTATCATTTTTTGTAAACTTGTCATCTAAAATTTATTTCTGATACAGATGGATGACGTCAAAATAAAGGGGAAGCCTAATCACCTTGGTCACTTCTGTTTATCTAATTACTGTTTTTAAAATATGATCACTAATCATTCAGCGTGAAATTGTTTGTATCCCATAATATGTTTGTTTGCATTTTTATTCTTATCTTACTTCAGTGAAAATTTATGATGAAAAGGTCATAAGAGACATTGTAATCATAAATGGATTAGTGTATGCAGTTACATAAAACATTGGAGATATACACGTCATTTCTGTCAGTGATTGGAGATATAAATGTTTTTTTGAGATGAATGAGGATTTTTAAATTAGAAGTAGTATTTATCATGGACTGAGGTCGATTGGGGAACCATTGAAAATCTGGGAGCAGTGGACAGCTGTTTCGTCTAACTAGTATGGGACTCCTCAGCAGTATGCACCCACGACCCGGCTAAAGCGTTCGCCATGAAACCTGAAGGTCCTGAGTTCGATCCCTAGTCGGGTGGTGGGTGTGTACTGCTGAGTTCCATACTAGTTGGACGAAACAGCTGTCCAGTGCTGCCAGATTTTCAATGGTTCCCCAACTGACCTCAGTCCATGATGAATACTACTCCTAAATATACATATATATATTTATAAATACGCTCGATACTGAAGATCAGAAGGCCAGAATAATAAAAATAGACAACAAAGAACTCTGGCTGGTGACGAATCAACCAAGAACCTATCACCCAACAAATATTCAGAAGAAAGTCGAGATGGATTCGATTGGACATATACTAAGATCATTCGAGGACATCATACGTCACGCCAGGCCGTTGAGTGGAATCCAAAGGGGAACCAAAGGGAAAAATAATATCTTATATATATATATATATATATATATATATATATATATATATATATATATATATATATAGGAGATCGTGCGAGTGAGAAGTGTGAGCTTCTGGGCTGTCGTGGAGGCAGGTTCAAAAGTTTACAGAGAACAGAGTACACTGGAGACGTGCTACTGAAGCCCTATGTTCCGCTAGGGACTCAAGGGACAAATAATAATATAGGAAGAAAATGATCACATCAGTATTCTAGACGTTTCTTTAGTAAAAAGAAATGAAAAATGAACGGAAATATTCATCTACGGAAAGTCTTGATGTTCTGGGCAATATTTACTCAGTAAGTAGAGAACGAAAAACAGAAGTCTTCATGGCTCCAAGAAAGTCAGTATTTATTAGGCTGCTTTTTGGAGGTGACAGTATTTTAGAAGTAGTTAAAGCTATTGAAACAACTTACTTCCCAGTACCACCAGGCGGATGATGTAACAGTCAGGAGAAAGATATGACTCCAATCCTCGACATATCACACTGCATATAAAACTTCAAATGTACTTAAAGAGGGCGTAGGTAAAGGCTTCTGTCTACTGGTATGGCTATGAGTTTACTCAAATGGTTAGTGCAAGCTGAAGAAAAAATTGCACGGAGTTCTTTTATGAAGCATCGAATGAATTACTGACATGACACTGATGCTAATAAAACATTCCCGGTTGTCAGCAGACTGTGAAATAAGAAATTTTTTGCTATCGTTGAAGCATGCGTGATGACAGTTAGTATACCAAGTATATATGTGTCAAAGGAGATGGTTGTTATTATTATTATTTGTCCCTTGGGTTCCTAATGCAACATAGGGCTTCAGCAGCACACCTCCAGTGCACTCTCTTCTCTGCAATCTTTTGAGCCTGGCTCCAAGACAGCCCACAAGCTCTCATTTCTTCCTCACAACATCTCCTCCATGTCACCCTCGACTCCAACGCCCAACTCGTCGTTTCCCACCTGGGTCCCAACCTACGGCCTGACCTGGCACCTGATGTCCTCACTCGGCCCTCTAAGTGTATGCCAAATACATCTCCAATTCCTCCCACTGCACATTTGTTCAGTGATAGGTTCTTGCTTCGTTGGTTCCTTCCCTGAGTTCCTTGTTGCTAGTTCTTATTGTTCTGACCATCTGATATTCAGTAAAGAGCCAGTGTAGGCAGTTATTGATGAATGTGTGTAGTTTGTTGGAAATGCCTTTCATAACGCGCCAACTCTCTCAACCAACACATAGAAGCACTGACTTGACTGACATTGGTGTTCAAAATGCGTATCATGTTCACGCTTTATGCTGAGTGGAGTTCAGAAGATGTTCACACTGGTTTTCTGTTTAATGAAGGCGTGTCTTGCTGTCTTTCCGATGCTGGCTGTCTTTGACTTCCTCGTGTGTGCCTGTGTTGCCTGTAGTTGAAACAGTGCTGCCTAGATAGGTGTGTGTGTGTGTGTGTGTGTGTGTGTGTGTGTGTGTGTGTGTGTGTGTGTGTGTGTGTGTGTGTGTGTGTGTGTGTGTGTGGAAGAGGCTACTTGATTCAAGTTTCTCCCATTGATGATGATTGGAGCCTGTTATTGTTGGTTGGGTATCATAATCATCTCTGTCTGCATATGCTTTGTACTTCTTGAAGCCAGCGAGCCAGCCAGTTCCGGACGTAGTTTTGAATCCAGCACATCTTTTAGCCTCTCCAGGATGATGCGACATGATATTTTGCTTGCTTTGGTTGGGCAGCAGCGTGATTCCTCACCAGTTCTTGCAAAGATTTAGGTCACCCTTCTTCAGGAGTTTGACAAAGTAACCCTTCTCCCAATCTGCGGGTACCTTCCCTTCCTTCCACACCTTCTGCAATAGTGGTGTGAGCGTGTCCGCTGTTGTCCGTGCATTTGTTCTCAGTGCTTCTCGCAGGATTCCACCTGGTCCTGCTGCTTTCCATCATTTCAGTAGATTTATGGCGTTCAGGACTTCGACTTTCGCCGGAAGTCCTGTGTTCACTTATAGTTCTGTGATTGCAGGTGGTATTTATGGACGAAGTGCAGGTGGTGGTCGATTCAAGAGCTTTTTGAAGTGGTCAACCCCTCTCCTCCTTCGTTTTTCTTCATTGTTAATTAAATTTCCGTCATCATCTTTTATTGGTTTCATCTGTGTTGATCTCTTCCCACCCCGTATTTATCTTGGTAGAGAATTTGAATCATTTTGAACTTATTGCTATAAGCGTATTGTTTTTTCATTTTATTTCTTCCTCTGCATACCATATTTACCTCTTCATAGTCCATGTTTTGTCACACCACAATTTCCTCTTGAACTTCACTCACTGCCCTATCTTCATCGCCATAATCATTACTACTGTTATTGATCAACTAATATTCTAGCCTTCTATAGTTCTACACAACAGCCAAGCTTCTTAACTGGTGTCCATGTACCCTATACAAAATGACATGATTTTTAGTCTTTTCAATATTCAAATATGGATAGTAATGATGGGCAGTGGCTAGCATTGAAATCCAGGATGCGCACCTCGTCCTATTTGGGACTCATCAGCTGGATGTACCTACTCCCCAACGAGTGATGCTGTTCCCACCGGGATTTGGATTCGGGGGCGATCGCTTCAAACGCCATGGCGTTATCCACTACACCACCGAGCCATGACGGACACTTCTTGTGCGACGAGTATACAAGCAATAGCACTTTTCAATATCCATTGTAAATCTTATCACTCACTCCTGTTATCATTATTATAATCAATATTCTCGTTTGTCTAATCCGTATAGTTCCTTAGTTGTGCAGTTTTATCAAGCTATCCAGCTGACTACTAACTGTTCTGTTCAAAACGATGTATATATATATATATATATATATATAGACAGAGAGAGAGGGATTACTGGTGGTATGCTTTGAGATGGACATCACGAATTTTTAATAAGGAACTGATACCTATGTAGTCAACTAGTCAGAAGTGAAGCCAGTGCCAGTGAAAGACCTTGGGTAACAGTCGCACTATATCATGAAATGACAGAAGGTGGAAACTGTGGACCATTGAATTCCCACTCAGTGGTTAAATGGTTAGTGCATTCACCATGAAACCTTAAGGTCTTGGGTTTTATCCCTAGTTGGGTTGTGAATTTGTACTGCTGAGGAGTTCCGTGCTAGGATGAAACAGCTGTCAATTGCTTCGAGGTTTTCAATAGTTTTCCAACTGATGTCAATCCATAACTAATGCTATCTAGTATATATATATATATATATATATATATATATATATATATATATATATATAACATTATTCTCTTCTGGCAAAGTGGAAATTAATGTTAATTATAATGATGGTGGTTAATAATCAATCCAGATTGCTTACTGCTGTTCATGTAAAAATAATGAAGACGAAATATATTACTGACCATCATGAGTAGTCAGAAATTACTCACAATGACTTGTAAATCCCGCCAGACAGATAAGGGTAGTTTAAACACTATTCAGTCATTTAACTCGTTTGTGGCTAGGCTTACCAACAGTGAAAACCTGGACAAATTCAGGTCATAAAAAGAAACGTTTTATTTTGATCAACTGATTAACGGGACAGTTGTTCAACACTTAGAACACTGTGATCTGGTCAGTGAAATCGACAGACAGGCACCAGCAGTTTCCAACTTCTTTCATCCGATCATAACACTTTTGTGTCACAAATCATATGTTACTGCTTTGACTGGGTGATTTCCAACAGAAACCCTGTTGGCACTGTAGTTAAGCCCTTGGAAAAGTACTCAGTTGTGGGAAGTGTAAACATGAGGTTTGTAGATAATTTGCAAGATGATAGCGAAGATGAGACTGATGATAAAACTTGTTTATGAGTTTTCTTCTGTAATTGTTAGGTATGTACTCCCTCACCCTTACGTGTACTTGAATAGATACTTTCCCTACATATCTGAATTACACCTACCGCATTTTATTTGATAAATATATATTGCTGCAACGCATACTGCCACTCTATTCTATTTATTTATGTTTTCAACCTAGTTGTAATGTTATAAAAATTCACCTTAACGCCATGCATTAATGTTTTTACCAATATTTCTAGAAATAATCTAATGTCTACTCTTCCATCTTGTCATGTTAACTACTATCATATTGGTGAAACTATCCCATAAAAGAAAGACGATGATAACTAGTATATGGTGTTCTTGGAAGTCATGCTTCTTGATACATTTGCCGGATGAATACATTTTGTCCTTAATAGTTATCCTGGATAATACAGTCTCTCTCTAGTAAACTATCAAGGTGACATTGTTTAAGATGGAATTTTGTGGAAAACAGGCTTAGTGATGAATAAATAACTGATTTCAATCTTTTCTGATACCAGTAGGGTGTACATAGGTTCTATGAATACAAAACTTTGAAAGAATAAAACAGTTTTCCTTGGCCAAACAAATTATGAGATATGAACGTAAAAGTACGAGTAAATAAGCGTATCAATAGTATACTTACCCTAATATAGCCCCCCATGACCAGGGCCATCCAATCAAAAGACGACTGAACAACATTAATGCACTTGCTTCAGTAAGACATGGTATAAATGCAAGACGAAAAACACTGCCGCATACTTGTTTAAGTGCTTCTGGGTCTAAACCTAAACCAGCTCGAGTAAGAATTGTTGTCAAGGCTAGTTGTCTCAAAATACCAGATAAAGCTGGGTTGACCAAGAGGAGAGCAGCCAGTTGAGTACGGGGATCAGTTATATTAAAAGGATATTCATCTTCAGAGAAAATAGTCGAGTTAGATAATCCGGGATCACTTCCGAATGGGACACTTCCAGTTGGCAGTTTGCCTGCGTGATAAACTTGTTGTGGGATCAGAAGACCACCGATATTTCTCAAGAATAAACCACCAAGTAACATACCTGTTGGAAAAAGAAGTAAAAGAGAGAAGTTTTTATTTACAAAGATTTATCGTCATCTGTTAGCCTAATATATCTTAGTTGCCTCATTTGAAAAATAGTTTTGTTTTATGAAGAATGTATTTATACATTCTTATACGAATGGTGCTTGAAAAGGAGCAAAAACTGAATAATGATGGGTAAATCAGTCATAATACTGAGATGCTTAATGAAAACAAGATTAATAACTTTGTAGGTATTCAGGTTATCAATAAAACTGACGAAATATACCCATTTATTCTTTAACAAGAACAAGGCATATATCAGCGAAGAAATGTTTCTTTTCAATGAATTCATTATCAAGCTGTACAGTCGTATTTATACTCTGTAAAGTGACAGATAATTGCACTAAAAAGCTGATCAGTCAGTATGCAAAATATACAATCAGTGGAGAGATGGTGGTATTTGTTCAAGTGGAACAGATAGAAAATGGGACACTGAATAAGGAGGAACGAATTGATAACAAGTGATGAGATAAGCGACAAGTGCTGTCAAAGAATTGTAAAACGGTGATAATTAAATTTTGAGGGGGTTGTGGAGATTTGGAAATATTTCAAGTTGTTATTCATCGAAGACTGACATCAGTTGGAGGAACAAAGGAAACCTGGGAGCACTGGACAGCTGTTTCGTGGTGGTATCAGACTGCTCAGCAGTGCGCACCCACGACCCCACCAGCAGGGATCGAAACCGCGACCTTCAGGTTCCGCGACCAGCGCGTTACCATTGAGCTAGCCACTGGGTAGGCGGAATCCAATGCTCCATATTTCCAACTTCTCTTAGCTCACGATATAGCGCAAACCGCCATCCAATGTCATCGTTGAGTATTTGTCCTCACGGCCATCAGTCTTTGACTCCACCGGTCACGACTTGTCATTGGAACTTCAGGAATACTTCTCGAAGCTAGTTACCAACGAGCACTAGTTCAATTAATTAATAATAATAATTAAGCTGAAACGTGTACAATAGGTCAATGATAAAGGAATGAATTGATATTAAAGAGTGAAATATGGTTCATATGTTGTCAATGAAATGAAAATTGGTGATAATGGTGATAATAGAAGAGAAGAATACCAAAGTGAAGTGAATTGAAATTGATAAAATGACGAAAATGAATTGTTAAGGCCAAGGTAGAGAAGAACTAATATTGATATGTACAATTATTCTAAAGTTTAGATTCAATGATATAATTCATAATCAGACGGACAGGGTCACAATGGGGTCTTCACTAGGCCCTCTCCTGGCTGATATCTTTAAAGCAAAGCTTGAAAACTGACCCCTTAAACAAATAATTTCGGAACATTATTTGGATAAAAAGTACATCAACGATGCTTTTCCTCCTTGCGACGAAACATGTTCAATGGACGAGCTGTTCAGACGCTTCAATGATTGTCACCCGTCCATTAAATTCACTGTAGAAGAAGAGTTAAACTTATCGTTCCACTTTCTAGACGTAAAGCTAAAGAGAAGGGACGATGGCCCGATTCAAAGGTCAGTCTATCTGAAACCAACTTGAACAGGTCAGTTCACTACATTTAATAAAACGACGAAAACGAATTATTAAGGCCAAGGTAGAGGAAATGGTTTCACAAAACGTTTTTCAATGCAAAGTTCCGGTTTTTGTTCATGTATAGCTAATGCTTCAGTTATGTATAAGTGGTGGAAACGTAAACCTATGGAGTAGTTCAATTTATCTTTGTAAATTATTTTAAAGGATGAATTTCGAAGTGCTGAATGACCTAATTCAACAAGGTGTTCACATATGGATGAAGTCATTTTCCTTTGATTGCCTTTGGTAAGCGAAACGGGATAGTGTTCAGTAAAACGTTTTCAGAGGGCCCGCTTACAACGTGCAATACAGTCAGCTCCACAGGAGCATGTGAACTTGTAAATACACATAGATGTGGACTTGTGTAGAAACCTATTCTTCACGCATTGACGAATCAGACGGCGGTTGGAGAATATCAGTCTCAACCTAGCAACATAGAAGCTACTATTGATACATCTTGACAGAAGATTTTTCAACACTTCAGCTGTGGTGTCTCCTTTGAATTCTAGATTCATGATAAAAATTTTCTCAGAAACTGTAATGGGATTGGGAATGGTTCGTTTCTTCAGATTCTTATCAATACATCGTTTAGGGTATCGGTTATTGGATAGTATTATTCTAAGAGTTCCGATTTCAGCATCCACCGTATTTTCTGAACATATTCTATAGATTCTGGAACACAGTGAGTGAATGAGATTTATCTAACAACTAACAGGTGCCCAACTATTAAATTTAGTGAACTGACCTGTTCAAGTTGGTTTCAGATAGACTGACCTTTGAATCGGGCCATCGTCCCTTCTCTTTAGCTTTACGTCTAGAAAGTGGAACGATAAGTTTAACTCTTCTTCTACAGTGAATTTAATGGACGGGTGACAATCATTGAAGCGTCTGAACAGCTCGTCCATTGAACATGTTTCGTCGCAAGGAGGAAAAGCATCGTTGATGTACTTTTTATCCAAATAATGTTCCGAAATTATTTGTTTAAGGGGTCAGTTTTCAAGCTTTGCTTTAAAGATATCAGCCAGGAGAGGGCCTAGTGAAGACCCCATTGTGACCCTGTCCGTCTGATTATGAATTATATCATTGAATCTTAACTTTATATTAAACGCACATCTTAATACTAGTTCTTTTAGGTGGCCTGTAGGTAATTCAATGTTAATATTATTAGAATCAATGTAATCGCATTGATAGCAAACGGTTTCAACAAGTGGAACATTGGCAAATAAAGATTTTAGTTATTTTTCATGTAATAATACCATGAGCCTAATACAATACAGTTAGCATTCCTCAATCATTGGACATCCTATCCTACTATTTCTCTGCGTTTATCTAAATGCAACAACACGATTAAACAATCCAGCTCAGAGAACATAATACAACCAAGATATATAAAGTTTATAATGCAATGAAATATAACAATAGATTATAAAAATTTTGTGTATGTTCATCAATCAGGTTGTAATCCATTTCGGAGTGGATTCTAAAATTCTGCTTTTCTTTTGGCAAATTCATTACTTTACTGTCAAAACGTTTATCTAGCTTAAATTATCATCTCAATCAAACACCACAACATTAATTGGTATTGAAAAATCAGAGTTTATTCATTCTAAAAATGTATTAATGAAAGAAAACAAGTAAACATCAGGAGTATAAGTCAGTGAAAAATAAATTAAAACCAAGTGACAGATAAGTCATATTAAAAAGCATTTTTGTTAGTTGGTTGGAGGCAATCGGCAGGAAGCCCTGAACCTAACTTTCATGCTTTTTAGCACTCGTCAGCAAGGCGTATCTGCAACCTTGACGGAACTTATGTCCCACCTGAGATTAGAGCCCAAGTCACCCAGTGTTATCATCAGCGACTTTACCACTGATCTATTCATAACGTGATTTACCTCCTGTAGGAGTGGCTTACATGTATTGATTGGTCACGGGAGTGCAACCGATTTCATGTTGTCTAGTCCTGAGAACAGACAGAATTCCATGGATCATGTTTGCAATGTGGCAACCAAGCTAGGAAGCTCAGCATCTCGATGCACATAAGTAGATGTCAGTTGGTTGGAGGCAATCAGCAGGAAGCCCTGAACATAGCTTTCGTGCTTTTTGGCACTCGTCAGCAAGGCGTATCTGCAACCTCGACGGAACTGATATTCCGCTTGAGATTCGAACCCACATCACCCAGTGTTGTAGTCAGTGACTTTGCCACTCAGCTATCCGGGGGCGCATTTTTTAAAAGACTAATTATAGGTAGACATGATGGATAAATAGGCTGTCTGACTACTGCCAACAAGAAGATTGATAACTCTGACACAACTACTTTTGATTAACATATAGCACTTTTATAATTCGCCTCATAGTATATTTTATACTTCCAGTGTCCTGAGACTGAATATTTTTGTTTTTTGATCTTTTTCTTGAGTCATTCAATCCTATTGTACTAACATTTTAAACCCTTGAAACGGTTACTGAGATTAGTTTGATGTATTTGTTGATTAGGACAGAGACAGTTGAAAATTTATAAGATGTTTAATATGAATATAAGTGAGTGTATGCATTTCCAAATGTTCCTGGTTTTATATACTTATGTCATATCCTTAGATCGATCAGTACACATCTTTCTGACTGCCCACCAACAATAGTATATAAACAATAGATTTTATTATTATTTTTTTCCCTTGTGTTCTTAGTGGAACATATGGCTTCAGTAACACGTCTCCATTACACTCTCTTCTATGCAATCTCTTCAACCTGACTCCACCACTCTACACATACGTCCATTTCTTCCTCACATTACCTCATCCATGTCATCCTCACCTAGAACGCCAAAATCACCGTTTCCCATTTGGATTCTACTCGATGGCCTGACCTGACTCGTGATGTCCTCAGTCGGCCTTCTCAGTGTATGCCTAATCTAATCTAATCTAATCCATCTCCACTTTCTTCCCACACATATTTGTTGGGTGATGTGTTCTTGCCTCATTCGTCCATTGTCACCCACTCACACTTCCTTGTTTCTCATTCTTTCTCGCCATCTCATCTCTATCTTTAGTGTCAGTATGGAGTGAGCATAGGTGGCAGCTGTTGATGAAGTATATTTGTAGGTTGTTGGAAATGCTGTTGATGAGGTGCCATGTTCCTGAACCATATAGCAGCGCTGATGTGACATTGATGTTGAAAATTCGGTTGTTGTTCACACTTTATGCTGAGTGCAGTAGATTAGATCTCGACAATGATTTCAGATCAGTGAGAGCCTGTCTTGCTTTTCTGATCTTTGTTTTGACATCCAGGTCTGTGGCACCAACGCCTGTAGTTGAAACGGTGCTGCCTAGGTAGGTAGGTGGTAGGTGAAAGAGACAACTTCTTTCAGATTTCTACCGATGATAGTGATTGGTGCTTGTTGTTGTATGTGGTGGTGGTTGGG